CCTCTTGCGTAATCTTAAAAATTTATGCTAATGTTTTGCTCCACTAATTATGGTTTAGTTGCTAATGAATGGTTTACTTGTATAGGTGGTGCTTTGGCTTGTTGCTCAGAATCTGTAGGCAGGCCTGGCACTCGACCAGGATCTGAATTCCTGGGAGAACTTGTGGACCCATCATATGTGCCATATTTACAGAGCACTTCTAGTCCAGCTCCAATTTCTGGAAACCTTAATGATCCTTCTGTTGGAAAGGGTTTTTTTGGTACTTCTGACGTAGACTTACTTGGGTATCAAAAAGCATATCTTGAAAAAATTCTTGAGCAGCAGAAATTGCAGTATGGTGGGTTAAGCAAAGTTGGTCTGAATAATGGCTTATATGGACCTGCTGCTTTGGGAGTTGGTATGCCGTATCCCTTAACTCCCGTGTCTGGTGCTTTTCTTTCTTCTATGGGCTCTGGAAATCATTTAAGGCTGAGTGGTCGATTATCACGCTTCCCCACCATGCTGCGAAGCGCAATTGGGGCATCCAAAGGATCATGGGACCGTGAGAATGGTATCATGGAGGAAGAATTTACATCATCTTTACTGGCAGAATTCAAAAACAACAAAACCAGATCATTTGAACTTTCAGACATAGTAGATCATGTAGTTGAGTTCAGGTATTTTGGAAAATTTGTCAACACATCCCAAATATTATGGACATCTTGTATATTTAAGACTCCTTTGTCCTGGTTAATACTAGAATTATTTTCATCTGCTGCATTTTCTTAACTTTTCCTACCTAGTTAAATTTGTTTCCATCATACTTTGTTGATCATTGGATCATTCACAACCTTTTGTCTAATTATTCTTGTATTTTATATTTGGGCGCTCACTCCATAACTTCCCTATATGTGCTTCAAAATGAAGCACTACTAAGATGCTATGAAACTTTGGCATTAAAGTTTATATTTGGAGCTTATGTCTCCTGCTTGAATGCAATAACTTGCCCACATAAATTGAGCTACATTGTTCGACTTCTCAATTATTTCAGTTGAGATATTTCCTATTCAAATTATGCCATATGCAATAACTTGCACCATGATATATGACTTAAATTATTTTTTGTAAGCATTTATAGAGTATGTACAAAAAAAAAAAAAGAATGATCCTTGTCGTAATCATATTGTGAATGGGAGGTTTTTTGTATCTTTGTAGTTATTTTAGTTTTTTTTTTTTTTATTTTATCATGTACATCTTTAATTATTTAAGTATATCTTTGATGCACACATAAAACCTCTTTATGCATAATTGATGAATTCTTTGTCCTAGATTATATGCTTTTTTATGAACATGGAAAATCATATGAAGATCTTTTTCTTTGCTATCTATAGAAATCACTTCTATAGTAGATCTTTTGTACATAGAATAGCTATCATTATCTAAAATGATGTGATGCATTTTCCCATAATAATTTTGAGAATATTCATATTTTTTTAAATTATTGTGACCAAATGAGGGCACACCTACAACATCCAAAGGCTTCGTTATGTTTCTCACTACAGCTCGACTTACTTGGGTGCTTGGGAACTCAGTTGAATAGTTTTTGAACTCCATCAAATTGAGCTAAATTGAACTTTATCTTTCTGTTGGCCTCTAGGGATTCATGCTGTGTGCTTAAAATTTTTGTCATGGGGTAAGTTGTTAAGGAACCCAACCGTTAATATAAATCATATCTCTATTTAGTTTTTCTTGTGCATTTGAAGGGTTCAAAATGATTAGACATATGTTGCTTAGCTATACTTAGGCTTCGTTTGGGACGGCTTTTTTGTTGCTTTTGAAAACAGAGTTTTAGTATCAAAATTAAAAAATTTGTACTACAACTCCGTTTTAAAAAGCAATAAAAAAGCCATCCCAAACGAAGCCTTAGTAGTAGTTGTGCATCGCTTGCTATAGGCCAAACAATCATTTTCTTATAATATTAATCTGGATGTGATGTCAGTTGTTGTTGACATTATTCTTTCTATGCATCATGCAGTGCTGATCAATATGGAAGCCGTTTTATTCAGCAAAAACTAGAAATGGCCACAGTTGAAGAAAAAAACAAAATATTTCCAGAGATCCTTCCTCATGCACGTGCCTTGATGACAGACGTATTTGGAAATTATGTCATACAAAAAGTATGCAATTTTTTTTTTTTTGACATGTTACCGATTCATGATACATATTAAGAAATTCTGAAATTTGCTTGTATATGGATTTCCAGTTTTTTGAACATGGTACAGAGAGCCAGAGAAATCAGCTTGCCAGTAGACTTTTGGGTCATGTTTTGCCTCTCAGTCTGCAAATGTATGGATGCAGAGTAATTCAGAAGGTTTGCACAAAAGCATTTCTCTTCTACTGCATGTGACCTGTTAAGAATTCATGTAGCTTGTGAACAACTTTCAGTTGTTTTATTTTGCTTATTTGCTTAAAGGAATGCAATAGTTTGTATATTTTTTCCTTCAATATTTGAACTGAAGTATTTGAAATTTTTAAGCTTAAGTGCCGCTTGTTTCAGATTTTTAACATCTTTGCCTATATGTAGCAATCCTGAGTTCTTTTGGGTGCATTTCTTGGTTGGCTATATGATGTTTCTTAATTAGCGAATGCATCAGCTGCTCAATCTAATTTACCTGTTCTTGTGGCATCATCTTGATTATGGGAACTGCTTGGCTTACAAAACTGTGTAAATAAGATATACTGTTGGAGAGAAGAAGCTGCATAACTGAAAATTTTATAGATTCAAAGTCATTTTAATGTTTTTTCATTAGTGGAAATAAGTACTAGTTGGTATTTTACCTGACATGCCTGTAGTATTCTTGCTTATTTACTTTAACTGTGACATTTTCTTAATTTTAGACCATGCATTTCTAACAGTGTGCTATAGTTCATAGTATAGTGAGTTGAACTCTTGCAATATTACTATTGCATGGCACAAACTCTCAAACTAATGTGTATTATTTGAATTTTAGTTTAGTATAGCACATTGCTTAAGGCGCCCACAGTTGCATGTTTTTTTTTTGCTAAGGTTGAGAGATGTGATCATGATGAGGCTATTTTGGTTAAAGAATATGCGGGTAGTGAAGAAGATAGGTGTTGGAGATGATGGTAATGACAAAAGTGAGGTTATTTTATTTTATGATGATGTTGATTTTGAGGATAGCTATTTTTAGTTTTGAATTTGAATATTTGACGTGTAAGCAAACTATTCCTTATGTTTTCAGCATAACTATTCCCTGGGGAATATTTTTGGTCATCTTTTTTATGAATGCTTTAGCTATAATGTTTTGTATTTTTTTTAATATTAACTATTGCCAAAATCAATGATAGTTTATTTGTCATCCTAATTGATTTCCTTTCCATGTTGTTTGTTGTCAATCTGATTGTATTTTATGAACCTTCACATATGTTAAACATTCATGGCGTTGTGTCTTTTTTTTTTTTTTTAATTTAAGATGTTCTTTTCTCTTAGATTGTTGAATTATTATAAATTATTCATGATTTACTACAATTTTTAAATAGTGTTTGCCATCTTTTATATGTCTTTTGCTATGGCTCAATGTGATCTTTGCACCATAGTGCACTATTCACAATTTTGCTTTATGATGTTGATTTTAGGATGACTACTTTAGTTTGTTAATTTAACATGGTACTAAACAAACTATTCCTTAATGAGCATAAGTATTCCCTTTAGAATATATATGTTCATCTTTCTTTATAAATGTCTAAAGGTCCAACATTTTGTATGTGATTCCAATATTATATATTGCTAAAATCATGGTGCTTTTATTTGCCATTGTAATTGATCTCTTTTCCATGATGTTTATGTTTAATTTGATTGTGGTTCATTAACTTTCATATATGTTAATGTCACGCCCCAGAATTAGAAGAATTATTATTTTTATCTTTTATAATCACAACATCCGAGTTATCTAATTTCTTTTATCAATAATTATCAGCGAAAATAATTCTAGAATTCAAAACATCAATATATATGTATATCTATTATTAGTGTTCCCAAAATCATATACAATACTTAGAAATTACAATTACAACATATCTTTCCAGTCTTGAGTACAAAAGAATAATTACAAAATAGAAAGAAATAAAATAACAATAATCCTGGAGAGTCCCGATCAATCTCACACTCCTAATCGCTGCCTTAAAAAAAAAAAAACTCCTGATCACTACCTTGAACTGAAATTATTTAAACCACATATAATGAGATGAAAAGTCTACCATATCACTAAATCCTTTAACTAAACTCAAAGCACCGTAAAAAAATAGTATGCATGCCATTAGTCAATTTATAGCAATAGGAATCAATTATCATGAATCAATACTCACATGCAGTAACAATAAAGTTTGTTGACAATAAAGCAATAATGTACGAAAGCTAATAAATAAAGCAGTACAATGTAGAAACCATTAAATCAGTATAGGTGTCAAATCAATAAAATAGTCATCGTAGTAGTACTATTTAATAAAGGGTAAGGTGATCTGACAATCAAAATCAGCTTTTCCCTTTTCTCTCTCATTTCCTCTCCCCTCTCCCCTCTCCCCTCTCCCATTTCCTTCTCAGGCAAGCTGGTGGTGAGTGAAAATGATGGACAGTGAGTAGAGAGAAATATATAAAAACAAATTTTAATGGGTCGCGCCGCAACACTATCACACAACGCCGTAGCGCTACATGTCAAATTCATAATCATTGTAGAACAGAGGCTTTAACGCTCCTGCGGCCATTCCGGGCGCCAATGCGGTCCGAAACCAAGCGCCTTGGCACTCAAAGGCATCGCGCCGTTGCGCTGCAGTTCAAATAGGAATTCAAAATGTTTTTATTTATCACTTTGTATTTTCACGTTGTTATAGTTAAAGTGAAAGCGGAGTGGAAAGGCTGATGAGCAAAAGCTGATGGTCCCAATTTCATGCTGCTTATTATAATAAAAAACTTACTTTCCTTTGGAAGCCTATACAAACCTTCTAATAGTATATAGGACCTCATTTAGGTTGTAAAGGGATTCTTTTCCTTCTATTTGAATATGCAATTGGTCATATCAGTATTTAGTCCTGTATTGAATTCCATTGCTAGGACATAATTGAGGAACTTAGTTTGTGTAATGCGTCCGATACCTAAAGCTCAGAAGTGTTTAAGACATTGTTCACAAAGCTGCCAGATTTTTGTTTAAAAGAACAAAAATGAAATATACTATAATACTATATGACATGTTCGAAACAGAGTTTGAACTGACCAGTTGCCCAACTAAGTGCTGGGGATGGCAGTACAACCCTTAGAAGTCTATGTGCTTCATAGTTTTCATGTCTTAAACTTAATCACGGATTAAAATCTTAGAAAAGAGAACTTTCATTCGTAATGTAGCATCCATAGTTGCATGATATGAGCCCAAGAATCGCTTTATGGAGAATGGTAACCAGATGTTCTTGACAGTGGGATAATGACTACGTCTTCCATCCCATATTAAATAAGTTGAGGAACCTAGATAATTTCCGAAATGACTTAGCTTCACGACATAAATATAAACATAAACATCAAGTAGATAACCTTCACAACAAGGTTGCTTGGTGCCATAGCCCTCACTGCGTCCCATTGTTTAATTTGAAGTACATTTTCATGGTTATGAATGTTCCATTTGTAGGTTCTCATCCATTTTATTGTGGGATTATTTTCTAAGTTTTACCTCTTGCAGGCTTTGGAAGTGGTTGATGTGAAACAACAGACACAGTTGGTCTCTGAACTTGATGGTTCAGTCATGAAATGTGTCCGTGATCAGAACGGGAACCATGTAATACAGAAGTGCATTGAGTGCGTTCCGCAAGAAAACATTAAGTTTATCATATCCGCCTGTTATGGACAAGTTGTGGCACTTTCTACTCATCCATATGGTTGCAGAGTTATTCAGGTTTTAAATTTAGTTCTTTCATGTATAAGGATTATCTTTTTAATTACTTTATTTATTGAAGTATACTTCTACCTTTTTTCTTTCTATTTATTTTGCCAACTGTAACTGTTTTCATGCTATCACTGACCTGAATCCTTGACAACTAACAGAGGATTCTTGAGCACTGTGATGATGCAAAAACACAATGCATTATGATGAATGAGATCCTGCAGTCTATTTGCACCCTAGCAAAAGATCAGTACGGAAACTATGTTGTTCAGGTATTTTAGGATTTGCCTTTGTTGTTGTAATCTCTTTCTTGGCTCTTTGTCACATGACACATTCATGGTCTTCTTTTTGTTTCATAACTTTTTCCTACTTTGCTAATTCATGCTAGGAACCTATTTGATGCACTTTTATAATATCAGGATTTAACTTTGTTTCCGGTAGTTGTATTGCCAATTATGAAGCATTAGGCGATAGCATTATGTGTACAACATTAAGAACAAAATAAAGCCTTCATCCACTAATTGGAGTTGCCTAGATGAATCCTCTTTCTCCATTGTATCTTATCAAGAGTCAAATTCTCATTTAAATATAATAAAAAAAGTTCATTTCAAATTCATATAGCCGACCCCACGTATTGGGATAAAGGTTTGATGCTGTTGTTGTTGTCTAATACTTTATAACCAAGTCTTATTAGTTTTACCTTTACCTTTCTTAACAAATGCTAGATCTAATACATTCATGTGTATTGTGCAATAATTGTCTGGTCAAGTTAATTTAATTTAAGTAAAGTTTTTATCCATAAATGGTTTTTAGCATTTATTAAATCCATATGAGTGTGAAGTAATTGTTGCCGTATTAAGAGTATTGTTCATTTTGAAGGAGGTAATAAATGATAGATAATAATAAAGATAGTGCCCTCATATCATAATCTGAGCATTGCATTCAAGAGTCGTACACAATTCTTAACTATATTTTTTTCCTTATTTTAACACCTCAAATAACTTTTTTTTCAAAATATTTGGCAAAGTTGATTTATTCATACTCATCCGTGAAACAGAGAATAATTTGATCTATGAGGCATTAAATGTGTATTTATTGGTTATTCTCCCACACAAAATGGGTAAAAATGCTATCATTCCCTCACGAGAAAGGTGTATGTGTATGCTAATGTCACTTTTAATGAAGAAGATAACTGCTTCATTTCTATTTGCTCCAAGAAAGAAATACCATTCACAAATGAATTTTTTCCTATTTTGATTTTTCTCATCCCTCATCCCAACGAACAACTTTTTTTTTTTGAAATCAAATACTCCTATACAAACTGAGCCTATATTAGAAGTACCTTTTGCTAAGCCATTACTGGTTTACTCAAAAGGGAAGGTATCTCAATATATACTAGTTCAAGCAGTCAAATTAAGCTTTGTGTTGTGTTTGCTTTGGGATTCGTTGAGCCTACAAACAAAGTTAAATGGACTTTCAATCCCTTGTACTTGTTCTTTTCATACAAAAATCTCTCATAGGCATAAATTCTTCCTGACTAACTTTCATTCTATTTTTATCCCTAAATTATATTCAAGGTCTTAAATAATGTGAATTGGAATAATGCTATGTGAAAAAATGAGAAGGTATCTCAATATATGCAAGTTCACGTGGTCAAATTAAGCTTTGTCATTGAGTTTGCTTTGGGAATCGTTCAGCCTACAAGCAAAGTTAAATGGACTTTCACTAAAAATCCCTTTGTTCTTTTCACACAATAATCTCTCATAACCATCAGTTCTTTTTGACTAACTTTCATTCTATCTTTATCTCTAAAATCGTATTCAAGGCTTTAAATAATGTGAATTGGAATAATGCTATGTGGAAAGAAATGGAAGCCTTTCAAAAGAATAATGCATAAGAATTGATGAAATTACCAAAACAAAAGAGACAAGTGCGGTGTGAATATTTGTTTACTATAAAATAGAAATCCGATGGCAGACTAGTTACCAAAGAATAAATTCAAACACATAAGATTAATTAGGTTGAAATCTTTGATCCATTTGTTAAAATGAAAATGTTGAGCTTTTTTATCATTAGCAATTAAGGAGGACTATAAGATATAATAATTTGCTGTGATGAATGAATTTCTATATGGCGATCTAGAGGAGGAAGTGTATGTGTAGGTGCCATTAGGATTTAGCTCAAATACATAACAAAAGATGCGTATAATTGTTTTCCTTACAAGAGGTTTTACTCATTAAAAATATGCCATCCATGAATAACACAGACTAAAGTGCCCTTGCCCGAGTTGGATTTTTTTTTTATGAGGATCTCCATAATCAGTGCAAAAATATGTCAACTTAAAGCTTATCCTTGATGTGATTCTACTGTGATTGAAATTTGTTGGGCATTCCACCACTGCAATTTCATTGCTAGTTCTCTAATTATACCTTATCTTTGACACATCTTTTATCCTTAAATTCATCCAAATTAATTGCTATGGAACTTGATGAAATGCCTTTTAAAGATCAATTAAAATTATATGAATAATTCAGTGCTTTGCACACTTATTTATTAATCATCTCATCATAAAAATAGTCTCCATAATAGATCATGTATAAGGTTAAATTGATTCTTTTGTGTCTATTTGATTTTTCCACACCCATATCCCATTTTCCTCTCACATAACTACATTATACCAAGGTTTTAGAAACCGGATCGAATCTGCCGGTCGAACCGACCATGAACCGGTCATAAGGCCGCCAGTTCGGTTCATCCTGAAAACTACTTCTGCATCAAACCACCCAGAATCGCCTGTTCAATCAGTGAATTGGTGAATCGGTCCATGTTCCTTTGAACCGACCCATTCAATTGCCTAATTAATTAAATGATTAAATAAAGTAAATTATTATATTAAGGATTAAATATTAAATAATATTCGCAATTTAACAAGTTAATTTAAATTTAAATACTTAATTTTTAAATAAACATAAAATTTTTATCATAATTATTTGCCCCGAAACACCAATGAAGCATCTTTACATGGCCCGAACACTCCATTTGTGTTCGTAACACATACAAAACCAAAAAACTATATAAACAATAATAAGATAAAGCTCCCAAGTGATATGAGACTAAATAGTTGAGTTGATACTATAAAGGTCACAACATATATAGTATAAATTTTTAAACATGTTTTTAATTAATTCTTTATAATGTGAATAATATTTATTTTTTAGTTAATAATAATAATTTATTTATTTATTT